TAGTCCTCAGGGATATAGGCATAGCCATACCACAGTGAGATGCTGCTTCAGACCCACCAAGATGGCTAAAGTCTGAGGTCAGGTAATAATAGATGTTGGTGAGGATATACAGAAATATGAATCCTCGCACACAGCTGGTGGGACTATAAAATGGTGTAGTCACTTAGAAAACAGAGGCTGTCATTTCCTTCAGTGGTTAAACAGAGTTACCATTCAACCTAGCAATTCTATTCCTACTTATACACTAAAAAGAATTATAAGCATAGGTTAAAATAGAATACCGGACATAAATGTTTACAACAGCACTATTAATGATAGCCAGAGGTGGAATAAACCCAGAGGTTCAGCAAGTGATGAATGGGTAAATGAAATGTAGCATAGCTGTACCATGGAATGTTATTTAGCCATGGAAAGGATGAAGTACCGATTCATATATGCTACAACATGGGTGAACCTCAAAAACATGCTAAGTGAAAGAAACTATTCATGAAAAATTACATATTATACTATCGCTCTTTTTGATGACTGCTTTTTTTTTTATGATTGCTTTTTAAATGAAATGTTTAGAATAGTCATATCTAGAGAGACAGAACCCAGCTTTGTGGTTTCCTAGGGCTAGGGAAAATGGGGGGTTGTGGTATGGGGAGCAAAAACTAAATGATACAAGGTTACTTTTTGGGGCATTGAAAATGTTCTGAAATCGACTATGGTGAAAGTCACATATATCTGTGAGTATGATAAAAAAAAAATCATTGAACTGTACACTTTTAAAAACCAGAATTGATTAAGATGGTATAGGGGCACCTGGGTGGCTCAGTTAAGTGTCCGACTTCATCTCAGGTCATGATCCCACCATTTGTGGGTTCAAGCCCCACACTGGACTCTGGGTTGACAGCTTGGATCCTGGAGCCTACTTTGGATTCTGTGTCTCCCTCTCTTTCTCTACTGCTCTGTCTCTCAAAAATAAATAAACATTAAAAAAAGTAAAAAAAAAAAAAAAAAAAAAGAAGGTATATGTTTACCTAGGTGGCTGAAGAATTTTCCAGGCTAACATGAAAATAGATTGGTATGTTTTCAGAATACAAAAGTTGATGAACTCAAATATCTATGCCCATCTAAGGGGTCATTTAATGCATTTTATTTTTTAAAAATATACATTTTTAAATTTTAGGGCAGAAGATGTATACCCTACATTCATTTTCTGCTCTAATTTGAAGGGATACACGTGAATAAAATATAAGTAACATTGTACTCTTTAGGAAATGACAGTAAACTAAGAAATTTTTAAACTAAAAATGTTATCTTCCCCCTCTTCTTCCTAGTCTTCATGTTGGAGGGCCCTAGGGCTCAGCCTTCTCTTTTCTTCTTTGCTTTCCCACTCCGTTTGAGATGTTGACAAGTCTCATTGCTTTAAATATTATTTCATATCTTGAGATTCCCAATTCAATCCTTCCAATTAATTGCTCAAGACAAAAACTTTGCTTCAGTCCCTGGTTCCTCTGTTTCTCACTCCCTATACTAGTAGGGACTCTTGTAGGCATATCACCTTCAATATATATCCAGCAGCCAAGCACTTATCCTCCCTCTGCTTCATCTACTCTGTTCAAACCACCGCCATCTTTTCCCTGGCCCACTGTGGCCCTGTAACTGGCCTCCCTGCCTCTGACCCGGCACCTCTCGCGTGTAATCATCAAGCGAATTTCAGTCAGAATGATCCTTTCCAGACACATCCTCATCACGTCTCTCCTCAGAATACTCCAGTCTTTCTCTCTTTTCCTCAGGGCAAAAGCTCACCTAAGAGGATCTGGCTCCCATACCCTAAGCCACTTGGCTGCAGCCACACTGGCCTCCTTGCCAGAAGGTGCCAGACGTGCTTTCACTCTATGGCTTTTCCAATGGCCGATCCCTTTGCTGGGGGTGCTGTCCTGTTTGCTGGTGTGTCTAACTTAATAAGACTAATTTGGAGATGTGGTACACACACACACACACACACACACACACACACACACACACAAGGAATATTACTTGGTGATCAAAAAGAATGAAATCTTGCCATTTGCAACAACGTGGATGGAACTGGTGTGTGTCATGCTAAGTGAAATAAGTCATTTAAAGAAAGATCCATATCCTATGATTTTACTCATGTGAAATGTAAGAAACACAACAGATGAACCTAGGGGAAGGGAAGGAAAAATAAGATAAAAACAGAGAGGGAGACAAACCCTGAGACTCTGAAAGACAGAGAACAAACTGAGGGTTGCTGGAGGGGAGGTGGGTGAGGGGATGGGCTACATGGGTGATGGGCATGAAGGAGGGCGCTTGTTGGGGTGAGCACTGGGTGTTTAATGGAAGTGATGAATCACTAAATCCTACTCCTGAAACCAATACTACACTGTATGGTAACTAACTTAGATGTAAATAAATAAATAAATAAATAAATAAATAAAGACTTACTTGGATAATCTTACTTAAACAGCCCCCACTGATGGCCCCTATGGTGGTTTCTTTTTTTCCATGGCAGCTATCACCTTCCAGCACACTGTATTGTTTCCTTACTTATTGGGTTTATTGTGTTTATCCTCCTATTAGGATCTAATCTCCATGGGGGCAATCAATCTTTGTCTGTTTGCTATTGATGCATCCTATATACTCAGAACAGGCCTGAAACCCAGCAAATATTTATGACTGAATTATTGAAATCTGAGCACATTATAGGTGCTTTACGGTACCTAAGTACAACAGATATTGTGCTGTCGCCAGAATAATTTTTCCACAGCATTTTTTCATGACTTAATAAATAATTATTTGATTTCTCCTTGGGAAGTTGAGCCATATTAGTCCGGGAAACTCCTGGGTAAGGGTCCCGGAGGCGGATGAGTGTCTGCGCTTCTGCAAGGAGGGATGGTAAGTGTTTCCAGAGAAGGAAATAGTTACTCTGTGTGAGATTCAAAGAGGAGTTTAGTTTTGCTCCTTGAGGTGGAGTGAGGAGAGGGAAAGAGAGAGCGGAAAACAGTGAGGCTGGAGGTTGGAGAGAGAGAGTTACAGAAGGAGTCCGATCATGGCTAGACCTTGGGAATTTAGAGTCATGATCTTCCCCCACCATCCTTCAATGAAAAAACAAAAACGAAAACAAACAAAAAACCTTTTTGTGAGTTTTTGTGAAAACCAAGCAAGAGGCCAAGTTTAGCCAAGTTCATTCATGCCTGGCTTCGTTTTTTTGTGTGTGTTTGTTTGTTGATGTTGTGAAGCAAAATTGGAACAGTATACAGGGCAGCTGGGTGGCTCAGTTAGTTAAGCACCTGACTTCAGCTCAGGTCATGATCTCACAGCGATGATCTCGGGGTCTGTGAGTTCGAGTCCGACATCGGGGTCTGTGCCAACAGCTCAAAGCCTGCAGCCTGTTTCAGATTCTGTGTCCTCCCTCTCTGCCTCTTCCCTGATTGAACTCTCTCTCAAAATTACACATTAAAAATTAAAAAAGAGTGGGGATGAGCGCTGGGTGTTATGTGGAAACCAACCTGACAATAAACTATTAAAAAAATTAAAAAAGAAATTGGGACAGTATGCACAAATAGAGACACTGAAGCATGAGAGAGTTAGTTTCAGGGATTTGCAAAATCCCAAGGGGGAATCAAGGGCTTTGAGGCCACTGTACTTATAGCCCCAGGGGGTAACACCTGGGTCACATGCACGCTCTGGAAATCCACTGAAAAGCTTAGAAAAAAGAGCTAGGATAGAAAACTATGTTAACAGCGGTAGAAGTTAAAAAAAGATATAAAAGCCTAATGCCCATAACTATAGTCACTAAGTTGCTGGTCAGTGAAATAGCCTCCAGTGTCTCTTCGACCCTATCCTCTTGGGGGAAAAAAAACCCAATAAAAAGGCAGGCAGACCTTTCACTGAATGATGAAACAATAAGTTTTTCAGTTTCTTCTTTCACCAGTCCCTGAAAGCACCTTGTTTTCATCAGTAGGTTTAAAAAAATTTTTTTTTAATGTTTTTTTGTTTATTTCTGTGAGAGAGAGACAGCATGAGCAGGGGAGGGTCAGAAAGAGAGAGAGATACAGAATCTGAAGCAGGCTCCAGGCTCTGAGCTAGCTGTCAGCACAGAGCCCGACACGGGGCTCCAACCCACTAATTGTGAGATCATGACCTGAGCCAAAGTTGGACACTTAACTGACTCAGCCAGCCAGGGGCCCCTCATTGGTAGGTTTTGATCCACAGAGCTAACACATGTTGGCCATGCACCAAAGACTGTTGCTCATTTACTCACTTTTAGTCCTCAGAACAATCCTCTGAGGCAGGTGGTGTTAGTGGCCACGTGCTTTTCAGATGAGGAGTGTGGGCACAGAGTAGAGTAACCTGCCCACACAGTCAGTAGTAAGGTAGTCAGAACTTGAATTCAGGCAGTTGACCTCTAGAACTGTGATCCTAAACGCTGTGGGGGGGAGGAATTCTCAAGGAGAACACAACTCCTTTCTTGGGTATATTTTAATGATGCCAGATCTGTACTTCAATGATAGTGTCTAGACCTGGGTTTGCTGAAGGCAATTTTCTTCTCACACTCTGTTCTGTCGTATTGTCCTTTCCTGATGAAACACTGATCTCCTAAGCTTGCCTGACCCACCTTGCCTCCTTTCCAGGGTCTCACTCCCCGGGTCGGTTTTGTTTGGTTTTATCTATCCCTGCAGATAGCCTGAAATGATTTATTCCATCCAAATCCTCACATCAGACGTCTTATAAAAACCTGTTTCTCACATTGTACCCTCCTTAAACACCCGTACTCAAAATACACATTGGAGTGCATCCTTATAAAACTTAAATGACTTTTTTCCTATCCAAATGTTTGGAAGAGCCCCACAACCTCCCGCAAACAACATCACCACCACAAAACAACAACAAACAAACAAAAACAAAAAACATCTGGCTCAGAAGTAATCATTTCTCTTGTGCCAGGTGCCCTTTTTATTTTTGGCGCTGCTGCAAGCATTTCAACATACCTTGTATTTTGTAGGATGCTTCTGTGTTTGTATGCTGAAGGAGCCCGACATAACGAACTGGGGATAGAAACAGGCATTTGTAAACTCCTACTCCCGTTGATGGTCCCCTGAACTTTCCCAATCCCAGCGACAGTCTCGAGATCTAAAGTATCACTGAATTCTCAGAAGAAAGCGGTTTTTACTCCTTCAGTTCTGGGAGGACCCCTAGCGGATGCTCAGAAAAATGGAGGTGCCACTTCTCTGTCCCAGGAGTCACAGAGATGAAAAGATATTTTAGCGTCCCTGGTCATTGAGGGACTTTGGGGTTGGTCACAATGAGTTTATGAGGTTGATACTTCACTTGTTTGGTGTGTCCTTTATTAAGCTCATGACCTACATTATTAGAAAGTAATCCCTAGCAGCCAGTGGGATGCCTCTCACTTGCAAGAAGTCTCCCCCCATAATGCTGTAGAAGAAAGATGTCATCAATAGGAAATAGCTTCAGAAAGCATTTGATCCGAAGAGTGACAGGTTGTCTTCCACAAACATCATGTCCTGAGGGCTAATATCACCTGCTGGTACCCGTTGAAAGATTTGTTGTTTCTGGTATATCAGGAATTTAATTATCTTCCTCAATGTTATATCTTATACCCGCCTTCAATCTGCCCATGGCAGTAACAGAAGAGGACTCAGGGCTGGGGATCTCATAGTTCCAGAAAATGAAATCCTGTCATGGAAGCTCGAACATCTTGGCCTGATTTTTAAAAAAAATCTCTGACACTTTATTGCTGGGTCATTCTGTAGAAGTTATGTACATGTTTTTCCTAAGTCTCGGTTTTATAATTTGTAGAATGGGGATTGATAGCAGGGATCACAGAGCTATTGGGACAATTATATAAAACAGACCTGAAATGCTTTCGGAAGGTGCCTGATACACACTAGTATGAAATTGAACAATTACTATTTGTGGCTAATTTCTGCTGTTAGCTTCTCTTCTACGTCTTGGACTTAGGATCCTTTCTAGGTGATTCATTGTACTCTCTTCGTGTAAAGAGTTTCTCTTTATGACATAGAATTCTTTCCAGAAATCTCTGAGTGTTGGTAAATGCCCTCAACTTGGGGACTAGCACTGTAGGAAAGCCTCTAAGGAAACGTCTCCCATCCTGAGCATTATTACTAGGCCTCCCCTAGGTGAAATTATTGTAGTTGCTATGTGTCAGAGGCTTTTTTTAAGAAAAATCATTGGATTCAAATCTTCTTTCCCATGAAGCCCAGCTTCTGGTTGAGGAGTGCAAAAGGTTGGATAAGGAACTAATAAAATCCTTTCTCCTCTAAAGGGAAGTGTGGCCTTGGGTTAACTTTCTAGCTCTCTTCAGTTGGACTCTTGATACAAGTGGAATATCAGTTGTGTTATTAGATCACAGTGCTTATGAATTACAATGACCCCTGACTGATCATTTGCTTCTGGATTAGATGTAACTGTGATAACTTATGTGAAGCCATGGCTTTGGGTTTCCCTGGTTGTAGCACCTGAGAGTTGGGGGTGTCCCTGGTGGGCACCTCAGCAACTATGGCCTATGGAATTACTATAATATCCTCACTCGAAATACTCACTTTAGAAATCTCTGTTTTCCGTAAGAGCCTCTTAAACATAGAGAACAAATGGAGGGTGGCTGGAGGGGGTGTGGGTGCGAGGGCGGGCTACATGGGCAAGGGGCACTGAGGAAGATACTTGTTGGGATGAACCCTGGGTGTTACACATAGGGAATGAATCACTGGATTCTACTCCTGAAATCATTGTTGTGCTATTTGCTAACTAACTTGGGTGTAAATTTAAAATTAAATAAATAAATAAATAAATAAATATGTACTTCATGAATTCCTAAAGCAATGAAGAGGATGAAAGAACAGAAAGAGAATGATACTGCATTGGCCCTTTACGTCGATTCTCCTCCTGGATCCTCAAAGCGATACAATACCCTAGATAGTGACTATTAGCCTCCTTTAGCAGATGCGAAAGTTAAGTTTCACAAATTAAGTGGCAGAACTGTCTGACTTTGAGGCTTTGCTTTTGAGAAACAAGATCCGGTTTTATCACCGCAAGTTTCATGGATATTAGTAGCCGGTAGTCAATAAAGGGATAGTGAGGCACATCTCAATGTTGTAAACAGCCCCTTCAATAACTTCAGACAGGTTTCTCTCCTGCAGTCCCTCTCTGAGCCTTTGATATCAAAGAGGACACTATGAATCTGCAAACAGAGGTGTGGTATACTATATGACCTCAGAGCTCATTCTGCACAGACTACCTTATGGGACTAGTATTCTGTGGCACACATATTGGGGAATCCCAGACTCTGTTATACTACCTTCCTAACTGATAAATAAATAAAAGTATGACTGAAAAAAAAATCTCTATTTTCATTTCCTCAAATTCCTGTTGGCTCTCTCATGACTCTTCTCTTTCCTTAGGTAACCTCTCTAAAAATCACTACTATATACCCAAACATTAAGCTCAGACCTTTGAATTTTCACTCTACCTCTCTCTGCTCCTCCACCCAAAAACACCTTATAGTTATCCAGATAGCCACTCTATTCTTCCTCAAGGATACTCCTTCAAAATATTTTCTGCATGTACACCCCACCCTCTCAAGGAACTTATGAAAACATGCAACAAACATAAAAAGACTTTGTCTTAAGTGTATACTCTCCATTCCCGCCCACCATTTTGTTACGGCTGTTTCCATAGCAAAATGAGCTCCTTTGAGTCAGACATTGACTGGGTCTTTAGCTCATTGCTTGGCCTCTTGAGTAATTCACTGCATACATTAGAAAAAAAGAAATAAGTTAAAATCAATAACACCATGGTTTACTCACAAATGGTGGTGACAAAAATATGTAAGTTAGTGTAACAATGACAGGCACATAACCAGTATCTCTTCCGTTCCCTTCTTCAACAAATAATGCATAACAGAGAGACCCCAACGCAGAGTAAATCATGCCATTCATGATTTGCACAGCCTGTGAGAAGAGAGAGCGATCCTTATTACTAGGGTCAAATCTATTACAGGTGATTACAATATGGTGACTGAAAGGTCATGACAATATCCAGCTTATCCTGGTATTTCTGAAGTAGCAATAAAAGAGTTATGTGTCAAGGAAGAAATGGCAGCCGCAAATGGATGAGGAGGTCTCCACATTTATTTAAACAGACAGTATTTGTTTTCATTTCATAGAAATCTTCAGAGATATTTAATTTTCTGGTTGGCTCTAGTTAAATAAAGAGCAGAAGCCTATTTGTCTGTTTGGTTCAGGAGGACACACGACCCCAAAGGGGGGGGCTATTGGCCCTGGGGACCTCCCAGGTTCTGCCTTGACGCCCCCCTTCTTTTTACAGGTGGATCTGTGAGATCAGCTCTGGCTAGCAGACGAGTTCTTATCCTTCACCACCAATCCAAAAAGGTACTTTTTGACCTTGCTCTCATTCTTTCATCCACTCTTGTCACAGAATTGAACTTTGGGTACCTGTTGCTCTGCTCACTGTCATACTCTGTGCTGACTTTTGGGATTATGCTCTGGACCACAGCCCTAGGCTTTGTTCAGAAAAGTATGAAGGAAGCCTCTCCCATGTCCTCTGATTTTCTTTAACTCTTAAGTCAGGGTTTCTCAGGGGCCATGCATGGAGTCGGGCCTTATTTTCCAGATGGAGTAGAGCCACGTAGATACAGCAGTGACAAGGGAGCCTGCAACCCCTGAAGCAGGCAGCCTTTTGTTCTAGCCAGACCTTCCCCTGATTGGATGAGGCCCATCCACATTATGGAAGGCAATCTTCCTTAACTTAAAGTTCATCAATGTAAATGTTAATCTCCTCTAAAAACGCCTTCAAAGGAGGCGATGGGGATGGGCAAAATGGGTAAGAGGGAGGGGGAGATACAGGCTTCCAGTTATGGAATGAATAAGGCATGAGAATAAAAGGTACAGCATAGGGAATATAGTCAATGGTACTATGTAGCATGATGACAGATGCTAGCTGGCTACATTTGCAGTGAGCACAGCAATAGGTACAGACTTGTCAATCACTATGTTGTACACCTGAGACTAATGTGACATTGCATATCAACTGGTGTACTTCAAAAACAATAAATAAATAATAAAAACACATTCACAAAATTCACACCTTCAATTATGTGACCAAATATCTGGGCACCCTGTGGTGCAGGTAAGTTGACACATAAAATTCACTACCACAGAAAGACAAGAAGTGGCTATTGGGTGATGATACTCCTCTCACTTGAAGTTTACATTGAGGCAACACAAAGCCACGCATTTACGGGTTACTCCTGCCTTGATCTGGCATGTGGGGGATGGCAGTTTGGGACGGGATCAAACGGACTTGCCCACTATTGCCGCACTCTTCAGAATCAACTCCTTTCTGGGCCATGAATCCACTGACTTACTCTGAGTTCAGTGGAAGACTCGGGAGAGTTTAGTAGGAGGAACTCAGTAGAAGATCCTAAACCCTTTATCTTCTTTGAGGTGGTTGGATCTTACTGGTAGGTCAGTGGATGGCCAGTGACAGGCCTATACCTTCTCCCACACATTGCCATGACTGTCATCCAGGCCAGATAAATAAACAAGGAGCATTCAATCCAGCTGCAAAATACCATGGCAATGGGGGATGAGGTAGAGAAAATACCATGAGCTTCCCCTTCTGTTCACCCCCGCCCCCCCATACATGAGGCTCTGCTACATTAAATTATACCCTGCATTTTGGCAGTGGGCCAAATAGCTTCCAGCCAACTGGAGATAATCATAGATTTGTTATATTGAGGATTTTCCTAGGCCATGCTTCAATTTTGCTGGCTTATACTGAAATATGTTTTGAAGCCCTACAAACATTAGTGCATAATACAAAAGGATATAGCATTCTAAGGTTTAGGAGAGGTTTAGGAACACTGATATGCAGTACGACCTCAGAGCTAAACATAAGGGGAGCATGTTTTGAGCCCAGTGATATCAAATGGCCACTGGCCACAGAGCTCCAGTGTCTCCAGCCTATTCTGGTTTTGGGTCCATTGCCTGAGTCTGACCACCTCATCTATTGAGCTTGTTTCAAACTGTTTACAAACAAAGGCAGAAAATAGACCTTCTCATTGCTTATGAGATTCATAACCCATCTCAGAGCATATTTGCTAAAATAGGTTGTTATGCTGTTGAACTCTTCAGAACTGGTTTGTGGATCTGTAATTTGTCTCCTGTTAGCTCTAGCCTCAGAACGCTTTAATCAACTTTCCTTCCTTTGCGGAATTCATGGTGGGTGTGCCCAATGTCTCTTCCCTTTTATGTTAGGAAGTTGCAACACTCATCATTTATTAGCCTCAGTAGCACTTAGTCCTTACCCCCAAAGCTCTGGTCTCCAATTTTAGGGTGTATTCTTCTGACATTTTAATTAAGATATGGCATAGAAATTGTAGAGAGTGAATGGATTCCTTTTCTGTAGAGAAATATAGAGAAAAGGTAAACTAATTATTTTTGAGAAAAGGCACTTCATATTGCAGCCTCTGGTTTTCCACTATGTTCTTTGAAAGAAGATTTGAACCAACCCACTTATATTACTCTTTGTTATGTACCTAATAACTTTCTGTCAAAAACCAAGAGCCACTTCTCAGGTGTTATGCTTATTTCCTGGTCTTTAAATGAGACTGAGCAGTTACCTTTTGGTGTAAGTGCCCCACTCCCATTATTTTCACCTTTTCTAGGAATTACCTGCTCCCATACATCCTTAGGTTCACCCAAGTTTGGGTTTCTGGTTGCCATGTTTGGTCTTCACAAGAATGCCTCTCCATCTAGCCATAGTTGCTTGGATAACATGTGGGCATCTTACTCTAATTGAGCCAATCAGAGTTCCTTTCCCAGGAAATTTGGCCCCAAGACAATATAGTCCCATTCTGGGCTCAGAAAGAAGAGTAGAGAACACCCAGAAAGAAGAGATGGAGGTAGAGGACTCCCTAAAAATTTCTAATGAGTTCTCACCTCCCTGCTTCTACTAGATTTTTTTGACCTATCTCTGAAACACACCTGCATCTTTAAGACAAATTCCTCTTTATTTTAGTTAAAACTAGTGTAAGAGGATGAACATCAAGTGCGAATTTTCATAGAGTTGTAGAATAGTGGCTAGGCATTGAAGCTTAAAACAAAAGGCAATATTTTGCATCTTAAATTGATAAAATTGCCAGAGGCCATGCCTAGTAGGCTTCTCTAAGGGCTTTTGGTGGGTGATGATTCAAAGCAGCAGCTATGGTCATTTGAATTATTGTCCCCAATTATTGTTTCCTCCTTCTCTGTTACAGAGTTATACACCTTCACATATTGCCTCATGACTTGCAGTGTCCACGCTCCACTCCATGGAAGGAATATACCTATCTCCCTACCTCGCTGATATTGGATGTGACCTTGGAACATGCTTTGACTGATCCAAAGTGAAGGACATGACAGATGCCGAGCCTGATCCAAAACCTAATGAGATCTTGTAAGTTTCTATCATTTCCCTCTGTTGTAAGGATATCATTTCCCAGGATTTTGCTGTATGTTAGTGTGGATCCCAGAAGGAAGACATAGAGGCAGGCCCATAGCTGACCTGCAGCATTGGACAAAACTCCCATAAGTGAAAAATAAATATTTGTCCTTAGAAGCCTGAAATGTTGTGGTTATTTTATCTGAGACCCTGGCATCAACCAACATCTCTGGGCAATAGAAGAGGAGGAAGTGGGGAGAAAGAAGACAGAATCCTGAGAAATGACATGGTGGTAAAGCTATGGGAAGACAGAGCAATCACACTCAGAGTAGGGGGTCCTTCCAGATTGTGAGACTAGCTTTAACTTCCCTATTGGTGTCTGTATTCCAGAAAATGTAGGGGCTTGCCCTCATGTTGGCTAAACAAAGGAAGAGAGAATAGGAAAGAGATTACATGGAGGAAGTGACTGCTTAAAAAGAGAAGGCCAGGACCAAGCCATCCTTGTACACTGCAGCTGAAGGCAAAAGGTTTTGGGAGAAAGATCTGTCTGGTGTCCCTGGGCTGACAGATGAGACTGGGGTGACAGTTTTGCAGAGAATACTGTTCATATGAGGGGGAAGGGCGGATGGCAATGACAGCGAAAGAGGGGCTCACTTCTGGAAAATAGTGCTGGATTCCACAAATTCAGATGTAATTAATAGAGTAGAGAGTTTTAATAGTCAATAAAGTCTCAAACCATAAGAATAAGTGTGAACTCTGACCCATCCCAAAATAAATATCATTTCAAGCTTGGTTCCCAAAATGTACCCAACAGAAATAGAGCTTTTGGTCACCATTTAATCTCACATGTAACCCTTGTGCCCATGCTTGGTTCTCTAGTTTTCTCTCACATGGAATCAGGAGGGTTGTTGCTGTAGAAGAACATCCATGTCTGGACATCCTTTTCTTTTTTAAAAATGTTTTTAATGTTTTTATTTATTTTTGAGAGAGAGAGAGGAAGAGAGAGAGAGAGAGAGAGAGCGCAAGTGAGCGCATGCGTGAGTGTGGGAGGGGCAGAGAGAGAGGGGGACCCAGAATCTGATGAAGCAGGCTCCAAGCTCTGAGCTGTCAGCACAGAGCCGTAGGCAGCGCTCTAACTCAGAACCTGAGATCATAACCTGAGCCAAAGTCAGATGCTTAACCAACTGAGCCACCCAGGTGCCTCTCTTTCTCTAATATTGACGTCATGAGTAACATAAGCCCAAATACCATATACTAAGAACTATCCCACCTAAAATACCATGGAATGAAAGTGAATTCAGTTATGTGTGCAGAACACGAAGATATTTGTTTGTATTATGCAGTTTATTCAACCATCATTGAGCTCCTGAAATGTGCCCTCTACTGTGCTTACTGTCTACAGTTAAAAGATGAGTATGACAGAAACATACCCAAAAAGTGTGGCCTATTGGTAGAACTGAAACTGATCAGAAATGACAGGAGTATCCTTTGAGAAATCCATGTTGTCACAGATAGCAAGATTTTTCTTTTTTAACGACTGAATAATATTCCACTGTATACATATTCCACATCTTCTTTATCCACTGAAAAACATTAGGTTGTTTTTCCTCTCTTGGCTTTTGTGAATATGCTGAAATGATCATAGGAGTGCAGATATCTCTTTTGAGATAGTGAATTCATATCCCTTGGGCATATACCCAGGAGTGGGATTGCAGGATTATGTGGTAGTCCTATTTTTAATTTTTTGAGGAATCCACATACTGCTTTCCATTATCTTCCCACCAACAGTGCACAAGACTTGCCTTTTCTCCATATCCTCACCAACATTTGTTATCTCTTGTCTTTTATTTTTTAACATTTATTTATTTTTGAGAAGCAGAGAGAGACAGAATATGAGTGGGGGTGGGGCAGAGAGAGAAAGACACAGAATCCGAAGTAGGCTCTGGGCTCTGAGCTGTGAGCACAGAGCCTGATGTGGGTCTCAAACTCATGAACCGTGAGATTGTGACCTGAGCTGAAGTCGGACACTTAACCAACTGAGCCACCCAGGTGCCCCTGTCTTACCTTTTTGATGAGACTTCCTAACAGGTGTGGTGTGAGATCTCATTGTGGTTTTGATTTGCATTTCCCTGATGATTAGTGGTGGCGCCCCAGAGGTATATTTCTTTTAATGTGTTACTGAATTTGATTTGCTAATATTTTGTGGAGGGTTTTTACATGTATCTTCATCAAAGATATTGGCCTATAATTTTCTTTTTTTGCGGTGTCCTTATCTGGCTCTGGAAATAGGGTAATGCTGGCTCATAGAAGGAGTTTGGAAGTGTTCTTTCCTTTTCAATGTTTTTTTTTTTGAAAAGTTTATGAAGGATTTGTGTTCTTCTTTAAATGTTTGGTAAAATTAACCAGTGAAACTATCTGGTCCTAGACTTTTTGTTGTTTTTGGGAGATTTTTGATTACCGATTCAATCTCTTTACTCATCATTAGTCTGTTCATATGCCCTGTTTCATCATGATTCAGTCTTGGCAGGTTGTTTGTTTCAAGGAATCTAATCATTTCAGAGTACGTACTCAGGGTTACTGAGCAGTCTATGTAAGTTAATGCATGTATAGAACTTAGAAAAGTACCTGGCAAGGTAAACACTCAGTCATTTTTAGCTTCCTTTTTTTCTTTATATTTCCTAGAGTAACAGCAGTTTTAACAGATACTGTTTTTATTTTTTAAGATTTTATTTTTCGGTAATCTCATTACCCAACACGGGGCTCGAACTTACAATCCCAAGATCAAGAGTCACGTGCTCTACTGACTGAGCCAGCCAGGTGCCCCCAGATAGTTTTTAAACATACTGGGGTTGCAGATAATCTTCCCAGACCCAAAAGAAAAATAAAGTTTCTCTGTCCAAGCAAGGTTACAGCAAATGGGTTGTAGGATCATGGATTGCTGGTGGAGCAGTCCGAAGTGACTTATTTTTGAGCTCTGGTCTTCAAGCTGAGTCTCTTTGGAAAGTGAGCCTCTGCTACAACACAGGACATTTAGTTCCTTGCCTCTCACATAAATAAGAAAGGCTTTGAGTTTTGCTTAGCCTTCACCTTCTACCACTCCTTTTTCCCGCCAGTACAGGGCACTGACCTGGCTGACTAGAATAATTGGAGATGGGTGAACATCCTCTTAAACTCTCACTGTAATGTGTACAGTTATCTAGGGTTTACATTGAATAAGTGATGGCAGACTGAGTCTGAGCAGTTCATTCTCTTCTGTGGGACATTTGGCTAACTGATCATCTTAAAATGTAGTGTGGACCTATCCTTAAACTAGTGATTGTTTGTAAATAACATTCAGTGTTAATTTCTGCCCTTCTTCTCTACCTGGGAAATGAATGAAACCTATAGTGCTAATCAACTCTTTGATGCCCCTTACGCCAGAAATAACCACCAGTGGGCCGTAGAGCTGATGCATAATATTTGAGTCCATCTTTCATATTTATTCATGTAGATATCTATGTCTTTATATACTAGCTTGTGCTTTAAAAAAGGAAATGCACATATGCACATTTACATTTTCCTACCCCTTGGAATCATTGAAACGTATACTAACATGTTCACATTTTGTAGGCGTTCTAGTCATCATTATTAACAGTTTGAGTTTTCTCTTTTGTGTATCATAATGGATTCATGGCCTTTTGTAGACAAGTCCTTTTAAGTGATGATGATTTTTATTCTTTTTTGAGGGGTTATTCAAGTTGTCTCAACTTTGCTAGTGAGAGCCCCATTAACCAGGTTTCTTTGGCTTTTTTGCACTGTTTCTAACATTTTCAACAGTATTCTTGCTTTCTTTCAAGAAGAGAATATCCAGAGGTCACCTGGGTGGCTCAGTAGGTTAAGTGTCCGACTTTGGCTCAAGTCATGATCTCCCGACTCGTAGGTTCAAGCCCTGCGTAGGACTCTGTGCTGACAGCTCAGAGCCTGGGGCCTGCTTCAGATTTTGTGTCTCCCTCTCTCTCTCTGCCCCTCTCCTGCCCAGGCTCTTTTTTTTCTGTTTCTCAAAAATAAATAAGCACTAAAATGTTTTTTTTTTAAAAAGAGAAAGAAATTAGAAACGTGTTTGGCATATATTAGGTATACAATATAGCCAGGATTGTATTATTATTACTACTGTCCTAAAAGGCAAGCTCACACTCGGGAAAGCCTTTCATCAAATCTGGACGGCGTGCCTAGAATGGAATGACTTCAGTCTAAGCTATGTGACTATACACAGTTCCCTTGGGGGACCCCTGGAAACACACCTCAAGGTGATAAAACACTGATCATACAAAATAGCCAAAACCAAGACTCAAGAGTATCTCATTATGGAGCTCTGAAGCATTAGCATAAAAAGAGAAAAAACAAACATTTTCAAATAGGAGCCCGGATGGGGTCTGGGTTTATAATGGTGCCTCAAGTCACAAGGTCAACTTTCCTTCTGGCGATTACTTACTTCAAGTGACTGAGATTCTCCCAGGCGAAGCGTGGTCAGCCCCCCAGCAGTCCGAATGGGGGCGTAGGATGTGCATGGAACTTCTCAACTCAAGTAATGTTACCGTAAAACATTCCTAGCGATGGGAGAACCCAGGACGAGGCAGTCCAGGGCCTGGCGACCTCCGACTCAGCGTGACAGGGTCTGAGTCCCAGGGGCAACCCGGCCAAGGCTCCCTACATGCCTTGCGCACAGGGCCAGAGGTGCGTGATCCTGCCCTCAATTCGGGGCCGCCCTGCCCCGGGGAGCCCGGTGGGCGCTGCTTTCTCGGTTGTGCCCCTCATCCGCAGCCTCGCGCGGTTCCAACGCTGCGGTTGTGGTCAAGAGCGCGGCATTGGGGGGGGGGGGGGGGGGGGGGGGGGGAGGTGGGCGCTGCTCGAGGAGCCCCGCGCGGACCCCTGTGGCATAGTGGGACCCCGCAGCTCCCCTGAGCCCGCAGGCTCCCCGGTGACAGTGGGGCGGTGGGCGGACAGCGATGTCGTGTTTGCACCATGCTCTGTCCTTGGTCCTGTGCACACCCAGGGGGAGGAGGCCTGGCTTGACTCCACCCTCTGGCTGATAACTCGGCAGAGACACCCTTTTGGAGAAGCGACATCATGGAGTTCCCTGCCGCTGAGAACCTTCTACAATCCCTCCTTCCTTGCTATTGGAATAGCAATCAGCTATTCTCAGGGTATAGCACTATGTCTGGCACACAGTAAGAATGAATGAATGAATGAGGGGCACCTGGGTGGCTCAGTCTGTTAAGACTCAGACTTCGGCTCAGGTCATTATCTCAGAGTTCAGGAGTTCAAGCCCTCCATCGGGCTCTGCGCTTGACAGCTTAGAGCCTGGAGCCTGCTTCAGATCCTGTGTCTCCCTCTCTCTCTGTCTCTCATCAACATTACGCTCCTCCCTGTCTCCATCTTGTTATGATCAAGCCTCCTTTGGAGAACTTGCCCGTGTTCCCTTCCTCCCTCCCTTCCATCATTCCTTCCTCCCTAGAGCACGTGTTGTTAGCACGTGTTACTGCATATCCAGGCAAGCCTCATTGCAATAATTCCTGTGTCTGAGCTCTAGGAACTCTGTTTCTTTACAACTTATTTCTGGAAAACAGAATAAGGGGCTGCTAGCCCTAAGTTTTCATTCTGACATGGTGTTTATAGCAACCACTGTGTGAGCCATTAGAGCATGGATGTTGCCACCTTCTTTCCAGAATGAAGAAAGTCTTTTCCAGTGGATGTGACCACATCAGGGTTTTTCTCCCCGGTCCATCTGGTCATGAGTGTGCATGACACCTGGGACCCCCAGTGGGTCTGTGAACCCTGAACACTCAGTGAAACAGATCTTGGGCTCTTTTCATCAGCAGCACAAGCCACATGAAGGAAATGTTTCCTTGGGCTCCCCGTTTTGAGAGAAATCATTGTTTCCTGTACTGATTTTCAAAACTATTGCAAAAGAATTACTACTCTTAAGATTCTCTTCCTATTTGAAGGTCAATGTGCCTTTAAGCTTCCTTTTAATTCCCAAATGTTTATTTTTGAAAGAGTGAGAGACAGAGCACAAGTGGGGGAGGGGCAGAGAGAGGAAGACACAGAATCCAAAACAGGCTCCAGGCTCTGATTTGACAACACAGAACCCAACTTGGGGCTCAAACCCACAACCTGTGAGATCATGACCTAACCCAAAGTCAGATGCTTAACCAACTGAGCCACCCACACACCCTCAGTAAAAGAAGTTTCAAAACTTAAAGGCAGTGGGTCCTGGGTGGCTCAGTTGGTTAAGTATCTGACTCTTGGTTTCCTCTCAGGTCATGATTTCATGGTTCAGTGGGTTCGAGCCCCATGTTGGGCATTGCACAGCCTGATAGTGAGGAGCCTGTTTGGGATTCTCCCTTTCTTTCTCTCTACCTCTTCCCTACTCACCCTCCTCTCTCTCTCTCAAAATAAGGAAATTTAAAAAAATACTGTACTGGAGGAATGACTTCAATTAGAAGTTTTTGTTCTTCCAAATGTTTATTTTCCTCCAAATTTATTTTTTCTGAAATGTTGTAAAAAGTCTCCATTTCCCTTTTCCCAAGTGTTGAGATTCAAAATGCCAGCTTTCAACTAGAGACCAATCTTCTGGTCTTCAATGTCTTCTATGTCGATTTAGTTTCGTATGTATTTATTTGAGTGTTCCTCAGATATACACATCTTTTATCCTCACCTTCCCACTTGACAACACAACTGTAAGTGTGTTTCATACAGCTGTGCCTTGGTCGAGGTTCTCTGAAAGAGAAAGTGGATTTCTGAAGGGATCTTGTTTGGTGGGTGAAGGACCCATTGAAGGTTTTTCATCGGTTTTATAGCCTGTATTCTGACCCAATAAACCTAAATCTGGGAATGGGAAAGCTGTGATGTCACCACCAGCCACAAGGACCACAGAAATCTTCATTGGCTGGGTTCCCATTTTTCTTAAAAAGTTTTAAAAATTTTTTTATTTACTTTTGAGAGAGAGAGAGAGAGCACAAGCAGGGGAGGGGCAGGGAGAGAGAGGGAGACACAGAATCCACACAGGCTCCATGCTCTGAGCTGTCAGCATAGAGCCTGATGCGGGGCTCAAACCCACAAACTGTGAGATCATGACCTGAGCTGAGGTCAGACTCTTAATTGACTGAGCCACCCAGGTTGCCCCATTTCCATTTTTCTTTTAAGAAGCTTTTTTAAAGAGCTGAGAAATTCCTCTTTCTGGTCTTGTTTGGGGTTTTGATAGCTGAAAGATGTTTGTTTACTTTCATTTTCTCTCTTTGGACAGAATCTGGTGGTGTCTTCTAAATTCAGCTCTTCCAAATAGGTCTGCTTCTTGCTTTGGGACCCCAGTTGGGGGAAGGTCCTGGGTGCACCTTTGGCAGAGACTCTGGAAATTTTCTTGAGTAAAATAATTCTGTAACTTGAGACCACCAGATCCAAACTGAGAGAATGTTACACTCAACATCCCCCATACAGAAAATATAACCAGAGTCATTTATTTTAATTTTTATTTACAGAACCGGGAAAAAGAAACATTGGGACAAACTTTACTAAAATGTGTTTCTAGAAAGCTGCTTGAACAACATGATGATGCTCTTCCTTCATTCACCATTAAACTTTTTCATCCTGGGCTGAGGCCATGATGGTTCTTCTGCTCCTTAATATGTAATGAAAGGACTCTCTTGTACCATGAAACTGAGATAAGGAGAGTATTAGTAAATTGATCATGAGTGCATTTTAAAAAGCGTCATTGACTTTTTCTACCAAATGACTTTCCAAATTCATCCCAATTAAAGACCTACTCTGACTCAGTAGTTTAATTCAGAGGCAAAGCATGGAGGGACTCAGAGAAAGGACACAATCAGCTTGAAAGAAACATTACTCATTTTGGCATATTCTCTAAGGTTATTCTTGAATAAGAATACTAATTTGTGATGGGGCACCTGGGTGGCTCAGTTGGTTAAGTGTCCGACTTCGGCTCAGGTCATGATCTCGTGGTTTGTGAGTTCAAGCCCCGCATCAGGCTCTGTGCTAACAGCTCAGAACCTGGAGCCTGCTTTGGATTCTGCATCTTCCTCTCTCTCTCTGCCCCTCCCCTGCTCACACTCTGTCTGTCTCTCTCTCTCAAAATGAATAAACTTAAAAAAATTGTTTAAAAAAAAAGAATACTAATTCGTGGACTCTGAGAGATACCACACCTCTTCCTGAGTCATCTCTTCTCTGGGCAGACAAGTCATATCTGAAAAACTGATCAAAGAAGACTGTCTATGTTAGATCACAAGGATTTTGAGTGGACATTTTGGAAGGGATGATGATGGGAATATTCTCACCATTCAGGACCCTCCTGTCCCTCCTTCCCCTGCAGGAATCAACAACACATTTGCTTTTGGTGTTTTTCTTTTCTTTTCTCCCCTTTTAGGCTGGAAACTAATGACCATGCTTCACAAACACTGAACGCCTAGAATAAACATATATGAATGTTTAGTTTTCCAGTGAAAAGAACCAAATTTAAACTGTTATGAATTTGATGCTATGCTTAATGGTGATTATGTGACGAGATCATTTAGAAAACATGTTAAGTATCACTTCATTAACGTTAACATAAAATTGCATTTTATCCAGTGCTGTTTGCTATGGCATAACCATAAGTGATAACACAAAATGTAACTTCACATTCAAGGTTGTCTTGCTGCATCTCTTCTCCCTGTTTCCCACTTTCTGTTCCCTATTGGTCTTCTCCGTCCCACAAGGTCAACCCTCCAGCAAAGGGTCAAAACTTAGGAACCCACGGACTGAAATCAACTGGTGTTTGTTGTTGCCACGTATATGTTATTTGTTTGTTCTGCTTTTGGCTAGAAGTGTGATTTCTGCTTTCGGCTGTTGGAGTGATGATTGTAGAACCCAGATCTTAATGATTCCAGCCACAAAAAAGAAATGATAATGATGTGATATGATAGAGGCTCTAACTATTGCTCTCATGGCAATCATATTACAACACATCAACGTATTAAGTCAACATGTTGTGCACCTAAATTTATAAAATGTTGTATGTCAAATAGATTTCCATTAAAAAAAAAAAAGAAGAAAGAAAGAAAGTACCTTCACCCATCACTTGATTTCTCTGGCCATGGAGTCAAAAGCTACTTTCAAATCGAAATGACCAGAGAATGCTTTTCATGCGATATCATAAACATTTTTTGATTCTGTCTTCCTTTTCTCCATCCGCTCCCTCCCCCCATTCTAGTTTAGGCAGGTATCATGTGCAGCACCAGAGCCTGGTGCCCAGGCATGGCACACAGCTACTCAGACTCATTTCCTCTCATTCATTCCCTCTGAACACTGTGTTTCAGCCTCATCGAGCTCCTCACTCCATTTTGATTTTCCTCTCCTTAACAAACACTTTAAAATTAAATTATTTCCCTTATGATTAACCTGATGTATTTGGTAAATGTGGGCAGGGAAATAAAATGATCAGATGTTAACTTTTGTTTCTTGGGTAGGGACTGCACTATTCCCCCTTTTCCTTGATATCTGGAGACTACATCTTTCACAAGGACAAAAATACTGTCTCTTCTTAGAATGTGTGGAGTGAATCTCATTGCAGAGAATATGGCACTTTGAGATCCAAGACCTCTTGGTCACTGATGGCTTTTAAATCAAGTTACCTAAATCTTTAGCCTCACTATTAATAATTTTTCCAGTCACATGCTAAGTGTCCCTTTAAGAAGTTTTCCTTTATATCAGGTTATTTTAATATGAATTGCTCACACCCTGGAAGCCTGGATGGGGT